GCTCATTCTCTTTAAGATCTTCTTTTTTTTCCATTTCCCCAAAGAACCTTAAATTTCATCAAGAAGCAGCCCACATTTCCCCAGCTACTGTCCTTACGGATATGAAAAAATTTGTGGACATTTTTAAAGGGAGGTCAATAGCAGAATTACAAGAAAAAGAAAGGTTTACAATGTATTGAAGAAGCATGTGAGTGTAGGAAAAGAAATCTAATGTGTGATACAGCTTCTGCTAGTATATAGCACTAAGTTCTGCCTAAAAGATACATTAATATTTACAATCTGTTACATGTACACACACACACACTTATATGTTTAAGCATCACAGGCACAAATATTGAAAGCTAACAAGTGTTATAATAGAACTCAGTTTTAAAATTAAATACTTGTTCCCTATGCAACTAAATAGAGCAATATATACACTGCAGATTACATAGAGCTGAACCTGGCTCAGACTTATCAAGAACATTTACAAAGACATTCCAACTTAACAACATAACCTTTGTTTTTACACTAATTTAAAGCTAGTAGAGACTGTATGCCATGCTTGCTCAAGATAAAAGAGAAATATGGACACCTGGGTGATTTATGTAAGGAACTCAGCCTTAGAGAGTGCCGAAGAAACTGTCCACAGTTGGACAGAGAAAATAGGAAGACAGAATTTACAAAAAAAACCCCAACAAACCCACACCAAATGACCGGAACTATATGTAATGTAAGACTCAGTTTTACTTGGAAGTTGCCTATATGGAGACATTTGGAAAATATTAGTCTGAACTAATAAAATAAATACAATCACATTAAAATATATTAGTTGAATTGAAATAATATGTGAGCACACACCTAAGGTGGTAGTAGTTCAGTTAGGTTACTTCACCCCCAAAGGAAAGTAAACTAAATCAAAGTGAAGCCATGATGGGTTCAGTTACCATATGTCAGCAGTTTGTACATATACATGGCAAAAAAGGTCATCTCAGGGCTTAGGTAAGAACCACAGGCTAAATTAACCACATAAAAAGTTACTGTGGATCATCAATAAATTATGTGTGTGTCTATGGCATATAATTCTCAACAAAAATGTTCAGAGGGATTCAGCGTTTTTTAACTAATCCAATTGTGACATCTGTGACTATAAAAAGATACTAGCCAAAGCAAGATGTCTAGATTCACTTAACTAAAAGCCATTACACTATTCAGAATTTACAAATGGATGAAAAATAGAATCATATTATTTGTTCTCTTGGGGCGTGTGAACCAACTCAGATGCACTAATTAGAGTACTCATTTTTTTAAGTTTCAACACACCTTCCCCTGTTTCCCTCAAAGCCCACCATTTCCTGGCACTTAAAGTTCATTACAATATATGGAGGTAACATCCAGGTGAAACCATATATGTTGCCTTTTTCAGCAGGCTTTTGTATGCTATGAATATGTTTAGTGGATATAATACAATATATGGTATGATATGATAGAATATGATATGATACAGTAGGATAGGATAGGATATAGTGGATTTTTTTGCAATCAGCATGAATATACTACAAACTGAAATAAAAATAGAGGGTCTAACAGGTAGAAGTACTTTTGATCTATCGGATTTGTTAGCACTAACTTGGAACTGCAAACTGAGCACATCAGCTTGCTGGTTTTAGGTAGATCAATGCTGAAACAGTGAATAGTGGCTTCTAAATCATCAGAATTTTAACTCTTTGTCTAATGCAACAGTTCACCCATCTGAGTTAGCAAATGAAACTGTCTGCAGACTCAGGAAGACAACAGTGCATTATCTGGCTAAAGTGAGAAAGATTTAATTATCAGTAGTAGGGTCCAACACAGCTGAAAGCACAGGCTCTTCTATATCACTTTGCTGCAAGCAGTTGATTCAGAAGTTGAAATGTTTCTTTAATTTGTGCCAGCTGCTAACCATCATCTGGAGCCATTATTGCAATCAGGCATCTTGGGGACACATCAGCCATGCTTTGGCTCCCCAGCCAAGCTCTTTTAGTAATTGTGGGTGTAACAAGGTTATTATTATCTTACTGTGCAACAAGGACTCTCGTCCCAAGCCAAAATTACTGCACCGACTTTGTGGATTGCTGTTCAAAGGCCTCAGATCAAAGATAACAAATGAACATGTGGTATATCAGAATATATATTTTTTTAATTTAGAAGAGCATTTCATAAAATACAAAGTGTTTATTCAAAAAACTTCAATGTGTTTCTGAAAATACACAAATCTTCCTAGTCTCAGATGGTAATTTTGCTAAGCTATTAGAGGTTCTTATGCAATATGGAAAACAATTAGATGCTCAATTTTAACCTATCCAAATCAACCATGATTTGACAGATATTAAGAGCTGACCCAAAGTTCCCCCACATCTGTTGGAGTGTGCAGGAATAAGCAGTGGTGGTCTGATAGTTCCCCCGACAGCCTTTGGCATCATTATTCCTCTGGGAATGTGGCCTTAACTTGCAAGATCTGTAAACTTGTAGTTCAATTTCAGGTGATGAGGTCAGTACCAGGAGAAGTCATTGCTTTGTCTTTCTCATCTCACAAGCCATGTGAGGAAAAGCCAATATTCTGCCTCAATTAATTCAGACTTAACTTTTTGTGAAACAGGTAAATAGCTCAGTGAACAAATTAGAAAACTGGGACAGAGATAGGCACATATGATGTTGTAATGGTTTTGAGTCTAGACCTTCCTTCCTGGCAACCAGGTCGGAACCAAGGAAGTATTCCATCCTATTCCTTTACGTAATCAAACATATAAATAGGTGGAGAGAGAAGCCTCTTCCTCTCTTCTCTTCTGGTAAGGCTTGGAGACAGCAGACTCTTGCAGCCAGTCTCACTTGTGTGGGGGAGCTGAGGCCTGGTCGGGCCTACGGGGCCTGCTGTTTCTGCCGATCCGGGAGCTGGTAGCGTGGTGGCGGCATTTGGCGTGATTGTACTATCTTAAGGGGAGTATTAAGATTTTCTTTGGCTAGTTCTTTATTGAGTGTGTATACCTGGTATTTTTAGGGGTTTTTTTTTGTGTTTTTTTTTTTTTTTTTGTGTTGTTTTTGTTTTTGTTTTTGTTTTTTGGTTTTTTTTGTTTTGTTTTGTTTTGTCCCTTTTCCCTTTCCCTTTGAGGGTGTTGAGAGTTTCTTTCTCATGTGTATATAGTCTTGTAATTATATATAAACGTAATATAAGTGTAAATATATTTATATATTGCTTTAGCTCTCTTATTTCAGTTCTCTTGGGGTTTTTTCCCCCCTCTTTTCTCTTGGTTTTGAGAGGGGGGGAAGAAGCTTTTGCAGTGGGATTTGGAGACTTGGCAGGGAGCCAGCTCCAAACCACCACACACCACAGATGTCCATGGCCGAAGTTCAGTCAAATATACTAAACAATGTGGCTTCAAATTCAATATTGTGCTCCAGATTTTGTCAAAAACAAGGGCTTATCTGCAGCCTCGGACTTGAGTGAAGTACTTGTTTAGTTCACCTTTTAATTAAAGTGGAAAATGACAGGGAACCAGAATATGTTTCAAGCAACTTGACCGTGTATTTGTTTTTACTTAACTGTTGCTCTGGAGACTATTTTGTACTCAAAGCTATCCATTCATAATAAATCTGGTAATAACTGTGATATTTTCTTTGCCAATCACATTTTCTTACAAAATTGCTGTGACAGACGCATATTTACAGCACCAACTGCAGAACTATAAATCTAAAAAATTCTTGTCTAAATCAGGTAAATTATATCTACTCAACCTTTTGTGTCTGTGTACCTACTCAACGCAGGAAAACAACCCCAAAGTACAAACATGTTTCAAACCCATTATCACAGTCCTGACAATCCTCTCACCATACCAGATTTATGCTTGTAACCAAACATACTGGACCAGTACATTTCAGTATAATAGATCGGATCTCTTGTGGAAGTCATGACCATAATTCTCTGCAAACTTGCAATGTATAGATTACTTACACAGCAGAAAATAAAGGGAAAAGTATGTTAAATGAGTACAGATTTTTCATTTAATATATTAATTCTGACCTGTCTATATTATTTTATATAACATGAATCAGAGTAAACTTAATCTTATTTCCAAATTAGAAAGAGTTTTCATAAATAAATGTCCTGATTTTACACAAAATTTTTGAAAGTCACGCAAGTATGCTTTGATTTATTTGCGTGATTTTTTGCTGTTTCCTTAAGACTGTATTTTGCGCAGTCAGTCTGGGACTTATGGGTCAAATATAACGCATATCTTAAGGAAGTAGAATAATTTTCAAAATATCTAAATTTAAATGCATCTATCAGAAGGCTCAAAAAATATATTTGTACTATGTAATATCTAATCTAAGCTAGAGACTTGAATTATGCATAATGTTTAGCTACAAAACTATAGCATTAAGCCACATTTTTTCATATTAAAAAACCCCCACGGTTTACATTCTGAGTAATAAAAGCATCAAAAACTGTTTGAATGAGATCAAATTATTGAAAAAAATATTGAGAAAAAAGATTAAGCATTTACTTTACTGTTATTCAAGGTAATACAAGAGCTGATAAAAATTATTTTATGTGCTCATATATTCCTTACTTTTTGTGCGCACTTGTTCTATTCTGTAGATTTATCAACCATTTCAGAAAAAATTTTATACTCTGAGTCAGTCTTTCCTTCAGTGAATTTCTATATGAACAAAATCTCACTATCAAAAAAGTAAGCGTGTGTTACTTCTTTGGTCTGAATGAGCAACTATGACTTCTTTAAGAAAGAGGTTGCCCCCTCAGTAAGCTCCAGTGCATTTCACCAGATTCATGTGGTGGAATGCACATCATCCAGCGAGTTTATGAAATGTTCAGTTGCCATTGGGTTTCCAGAGTGCAGCTTACTTACTGATACATCCATTTGTGGCGTGGCTTGGGACTTCACAAAATATAAGAAAAATTTAGAAAACTGAACAGAAAGCTAGCAAATTAAGTGTGCTAAGAAGTATTTCCAAGTGCTGAAGCTTGATCATTACTTACTTAGATTGTTAAAGTCATCTCCAGTTTGGGATTACCTATATTAATGTTTCAGCGTGGATGGGGAGCAAAATTTTGAAGCAACTTTGCTTTACATTGTGGAGCTGTGTCAAGATGACACCCTAGTGTCATCTAGTGTTTTTTTGATGACACAAAAACACCCTAGTGGTTTTTGATGACACAAACCAAACTAAACCAGAACAAAAAAAAAAAAAAACAAACCAAACAAAAAAATTTAAAAATTCCGGAATAGAATTTGGATGGAGGACCAGGAGAAGCCACCATGACAGCTGTCACCAGATGGTTGCATTTCCAAAGAATGGGCAGAGGAAAAACAGGCAGAGGCACATGGATGAGTCATGCAGCTGTCACAGTGAACTATTATCTCTTGCTCATGCCCTTGAAGAAAGCACACAAACCTCTATCGTTGAGAACTACATCTAGCTTGGAATTCATACCCCATTCATTGCAACTTTCCATATTTACTGATAGCCAAATAGAACGTAAACTGGTACATGAAGCAATCTGGAAGTTGATAAAAAAAGTAAATGAAATAAATCATAAGATTTCTTAGCATTCTGCTTTAATTTTGCTTGATATATCTTCATCACAAGTACTAAATGCTATTTCATTTTTTGGCTTTCCCTGTGGGGTTACAGTTGATGATAAATTAGGCTTTTTCCCCCCCCTTTTTTCTGAAGTTATAGTTTTCTTTATAATTCTTCCTAATTTTATTTTTACCTTCCTTTATTTGCCCCCTCTAGTTTATATTGGCTCCTGAATTCTCGATTTCGTAGTTATTATCTCTTGAGAGGACATTTACAACTCCAGGATTGCAATGATTTTTCTGTATGCATGTGTATCATGCCTGAGAATTCAATTACATTTAAGGATAATAAAAACCACAACTGCATAAGCTGAATATTCCAAAACATAACTACTTTGTTGTTCAATAACATCTGACCCTTAAGTATCAGAGTACAGCAAAATAACAAAGGATAAATGACACAATAAGGCATAAAATATGTCTCTCAATAGTATTCTCACAGAAAGCCACAGAAAATGGTTTACTTTTAAGATAAACAGAGCAAAAGATTCAGCCACAGAACTCTACAAAGGGGAAAAAACTTTCAAAATAGCAGTGTTAATTGAGGAGAAGCCTGATATTTTGACATAGCAAATGGTAGGGATGAAGGAGATGCAGGTCAGAAGCCAAACATAAATTATGAGAGGGGCCATAAACATGAACCAGATTTCACAAATAGAAAGGGGAAAAGGTTTGAAGAGCCTTTAATGTTAACAATAAAATTTTGAAGTTGATTCTCAACTTTCGAGGTAGTCAATGCAGTTGCCTAAGTAAAGGGTAATATGAGAGTAGCAAAAACAATAATAAATTAAAAAGGAGGCAGAATTTTCAACATATCACAAGCAGAAGGCCAAAGGATTAGAAATACTACAAGTTCATTATTGTTAGGAATAACTGTGGTCTGATAGAGAATGTTGGCTGAAAAATTCTAAACAAGTGTAAAAATAGACTATAAATAGGGTAGTTATTATTCATCCCATAGTTACACAGAGCACACCTGTGCCTTTTTCATCACTGAGATTGAGATATTTTGACAATGATTTTTAACTAAATGTTCTCACTGCACATTGTCAGTGATCAGCCAATTGGAACAGTCTTGTTTTTCATCAATGGAAAGATCAGAAGTATTTTGGAATTAAGATATTGAGAAAACCTGACACTCTATATATATTTGGCTCAAATGTCCACATTTCAAGAACTTTAAAGTATCATTTACTGCAAATTCATTTCTAAATTGTTTTTCTTCCAGCTACAGAGAGAGAGAATGACTAAAAAGGGCAAAAGAAACCTGAAGAGATTATCTAGGCTATTTTCCCTAAAAAAACATATTACACCAGTGTACTCAGATGATGAAGACCTCATGACCTTCATTGTCTATGCCCATGTCTACCCCCATTATTCTTAATATTTCCAAGATTCTCTTCAATCCAGGATTCTGTCTCAATGAAATGTAAACCTATTACTCTTTGTGCTACATGTCACAGACATGGCAAGCAGATTAATCTCTTTCTTTTCACAAGGGTCTTTGTGTACTTGAAGACAGTTAGTATGCTTTCTTTCTGTTCTTCCTTCTGGATTCAGCAAGTTCTTAAGCATGTAAGAAAGTACTGTTAGCTTCAATGGAACCTAGTAGGGGCTCTCCCATACTTTGAATTAAACTTTAGTCATTGGCTGAAACAAAGCCCAACTGAGCACTCAGAAATCAACAGGGCAGGCAATCAGTTTGGTAAACTCATGGTGGGACAATTTACATCTTCAGTTTGATGTCACTTGAGAAGTTATGGGCACAGGACAAAGAAGATGACTTCTCAGAAATATATAAACATACAGGTAGCCCCACCCCCAAAAGGGATCACATAATCCCTGACACTGGGAGATGATAACTCTGGGATGTCGCTCATCAAGGTGTACGCATCTAGGGATGTGAAGAGAAGGTTCTATCAATGGCTCTGCCTCTGCCCACTTCTTTCACAGAGATGGTAATTTGAAGGTTGCAATACACTATTCTTCCCCCCTTTGAAAGTCATCCCTTCGTGGGATTCATGACTTTGTAAGTCATCTCCTGTTTTACTTAACCACATGGACTAAGATCATAATTTAGACTGAAAGAAGTGAAATCTTGATATACAACCTGAATATGTAAAAAAATCAAAGACCGTGTCCCTTCTGGAAACTCATTTCCTGCTCTCAGTTACTGAGGCTCTGATTGCATGGCTCTTGGTTTAGGAGGTAAGAATACCAAGAAACTCAACTCATTCTTGATCTCTGTAAGAAAATAATTGTCAGGAAATTGATCAGTTCTATCTGATAATATCTTTACAGCAAGGTTAAAGACTACCAGTTCAAAAAAAAAAAACCGAAAACAAAAACCTGATTTTAGCAGAACAACAATAACAGTACCAAAAACGTTAACCTGTCCTTATTGACTTTGGTGTGTTGATGTTTTCAGCGCATTATAAAACACGAATTGGAAAGTTTTCACGTTTCCTTTGATTGCACATAGAACTGAGTGAAAGCATAATTTCAAGAGCATAAAGTTTAAGCTCAGTGTATTCCAGAACATTTGTGACCCTAATTGTAACAGACTTCCTACAATAGGTTTATCACATTATCTCTAGTATGCAGTGAACATACTTGTCAAACAGACAATGATCCTATGTCCTAATGGAACCATCTTTCTTAAGCGCATTGTAGCTTTTATTTTTTACAATAAACATTTGTCCTAAACAATAGCACTTATGTGAAATACAGTGTTTGCAAGGGCCTTGGGAGCTGCATCTTGGGAACAGAGACTCAGGTACAGTAATATGTTTTCTCAATCTTGAACGAATTGTTAGTGCTATAATAATAATCTCTTCTCTACCCTGCATAATACTCATGCAGAGCTTAAAGCTATGAAGCTTTCTGTACTATAGTTAAAGCTTCGAGTGATTTATACCATTTGACATGCAAACACTTGAAAAATGTAATCTATCATGGTAATTCTGACACAACCTTAACTCTAGTGGCAATAGCAGGTATCATTTGATTACAGTATCTCCTGCTTATAACACTGCCATGGTAATTAAAGCATGTCAGAACCAAAAACAAGGCTAGTAAAGACACATTTTATGACAGAGACATTAACAAAATTTTTAAAGCATGATCTGCTACAGTGTTAAAAATGGAAAATTGTGCTCCAAGTCATAATGATTTAGTCCTGAATTACAGAAATTGTTGAAAATCCTAAATATGATGGCAATTTCAACTGTCTTAAGCATAACACACTCACAGGAGTGCTATGACAAATACATTTAAATATCTTTAATGCTGAGAAACCTGGAAAGGCAATTAGCAGTGATAAAATTTGTATTGAATTTGGATAAATTTTAGACAATTAGCCTTCTTCTAAATGCAATTTCTGGCCAAGAAATCCATAGGGACACATGACTTATCCACATTTATTACTCATTAGAGCAGAGTAATTCCTGTCATGGTTGAACATCAAGGGATTTATCATCATAAACTCAGATCAGCTAATGTACTGAGTAGTCCTTTCCTCCCAAGAACAAATCCCTAGATAAAAGATATGAAATATAAATTGACCACAACAAAAAGAAATGCATAGCAATAATATGCATGGCAGATATGTAGTTATTATGCCCAATATGCGTATATATATTGTGTATGCACGTAGTGTATATTGGTAATGTATTCAGAAAGAAGATTTACTTCTGGGTACTTCTCTTATGTCTTAGATAGCAAAGATAGTTTCTGCATGCTGTCTTAGTGATAAGTTCCCTTCCAAATATTTATAGTCAAATATGCTCTATGAACAGAATTTTGTTACTCTTCTCTCAGGCAAAGATTCCTTCCTCTCTTTAAAATAGTACAATAAGTTTGGTCTATCTTTTTTTTTTTTTTTAATATCTTACGGTTCTTGCTTCTCCAATGTATCAAAATTAGATTCTTCCAAATAATTTAAGCAAAGAAACAACTAAATGATTAAAAAGCCAGAGTTCAGCAGACTTAAAGATTCAGGTGTTTGAACAGCACAGCCTGTGCTTGATTTTTCGAAAAGTGACTTATATTGAGAATTAATGTTTCAGTACAGATCAGTATGATCTCCTTCAGCCTGAGTCACTTTAGAGCTGAATGCAAACCTGAACATTTTCAGATGGAGAAGGAATTAAAAAATACAATTTTTATATTACTAATTACTTTTCAGCCATCCTCACATTCTTCATCATTAACTTTAAGGAAAAAAAAATTAAGAAATATCTGAGACAGCTGGCTTTTGTGTCTTCCCACTGTAATGAAGTCCTTGGAAATTCTATTTCCATTTTCCAGAGGTTATAATTGATGAATTTCACAAAAACTTAAAGCAGGTTTCAAGATGTAATGTGAAATTACCTTGAACCACCTCTTTGTCTTCTGAACTTACTTAAATCTTTCTCTTTTATAATTAGAAAATTCCACCTAGTTTAAGACTCTTGTTTTCCTTTATTTTGTACCTACTTCTCCGTATGTGAATAGCCTTTTTTAAATTAAGTTGCTGCACTCAATTTCACCTGTATTTTAAGGAAATAGATACAATTCTCTCTGTATAAACAGTACAAATTCTTGGTATTTTCATAGATCTGGAACGCACATTTGAATAAAACTGATTGTCCCTTCTTACTGTGCTCTGGTTTGTGTTGTGGGTCATTTTTGGAGTGTGCAGATTGGATGATTTTTAAATTGAAAATAAATCCAAATATGCACTCCTGAGAACATCTAATGTACTCTATCAATAGCAAACTTTCAGTCTGTGAGAACAGACTAGAGATAGGCCAAACTTAATTACACTTAAGGCTTCCAGGTCCTCATGGGCAGCCTTGCTGATGTCCATTCCAATCTTTACTGTGTTTCTCATCTCGTTAAAATAGATATATTTCCATCTGCTGTTCTCTACATCTTCTTCAGTGCAATCACCTTTCTGAAAATGTGTTTGTCCTGAGGTTTCCTGTGACAATGTAAATAATTCCATCTCCAACATGCTATTCATGATGCTGTTTTTCCCATATAATAGTCCAATCAAGTCCTGTATTGATGGTGTTCTGCAAAATTACTATCAGAAACCATCATTAACAATCTTTGTTTGCCCATGGCATTAAAGGATATATTTAATAAAACTGGTCTCAAAATGGGTCCATAGGTTTTTCATAGTATTACTGTATTCCAAGATAGTAATTCCCTTTGCAGCATAATCCATTATCACCTCCCACTTAGCTCTTCTTATCCACTTTAAAAGTTCTTGTACTAGCCCTATATTATCAAATTCAATTGGTAATTTCCCTTGTGGCACCCTATCAAACGTTTTAGTGAAATCTAGATTGACTACACAGAACACATTTCCCTGTCAACTGCCATTTAAAACCCAGGGTAGTAGTGTTAATCTGACATGATCTACCTTTAACAAAGAGGTTTTGCATTTCACCCTGTTTTCTATTTATCTCCCTAAATTTATTCTTATTCTTTTAAAAAATATATATTTAACTTTGAAAATCTTTGCATATTACTGCGGTCAGACTATTAAGCTTATTATTATGTGAATAACTTTTTAACTTTTAACATGGTGTTTACTCTTCTGTATTAAAAAATATCAACTTAAAGTTAATGCACTTATTGAACATTCTGACTTACTGAATATACAATGCCAGATCTTTCAGGATTTTGATACAAAGACTGATAAAAATGAAGGTAAAGCAAAATTCAAAGACATTTGAGATGAAACAATTTTGTTACCCAGAATTAAGTTAATTATAGGATTAATTTAAATTAATTTTATAATTACCATCACTGAAAGGTAATGCCTTATTTCACATATTTATTTAATCCAGTGAATAATCTACACCATCTTTAATCTTAGTCACAAACTCGTGTATGTCCCTTGGTTTCCAGCAGCTCTAGGAACTGTATTATAAACATCACTCCGGAACTTCACTGCCGAAATAGGCATCCAGGTCCAAATCAGGAGTTACAATATATGGCATAAATAACACCACAGGTACATAAATTTAGACATTATATTAATTAAACTACATTTTCTAGTCATCCGTTTATATGTTTGTAATCATGACTGGTAGTAGTATCTAATTTGTTTTCATGACTTGTATAAGAGACAGAGAATCATCATTGAATGAGTATTAGCCCACATATGGGGCTAATTCAGGTGATTATAAATTTGCCATACTTCTCCATAGGTTGTTACAGCATCTACAGCATCTAAACATATTAAAAGCATAAATCTTTTGTTTAGCTGGCATTTTAATACTTTTAGCTTTCAACAGCGAAAGATCCTTGGTATACGTTCATCTATTCTTTTCTGTTGCTTTCTCAGACTCAGGTACTTTGGGGATACCTTGAAGCACTGAGTGTTAAAATGAATTGAATTATACTGATGCTAAAAACTGGGGAAGAATTAATAATTTCAACATAATTTTATAATAATTTTATGGTGATAAATTGTATCTCATACATTTGCAGGAATTAAAAGGAACTAATTCAAATCAAGTTGCACTGTGTATAAAATACAGCATATTTGCATAACTAAGCAAAATCTATTACTAATAACAGTAGCAATTACAGTAATAAATGTTTCCTTAATGGCAGTAACAAATGTTTCCTTGTAATTTCCTTATTTTGAGACACTGCTTTTCCAGGTCAAGAAGTTCTTAAAACATCCGGTGAAGGACTTTTGTGCCTGAGCAGGGCTCTGGTGAAGCTGAGAAAGTCGAGACTGATGCAAAATTTCACCTCCACTGCTCCAGGTTTCTGAGTGCTTCAGATACCTACTTGCCTGAATTCCAGTTCCCTGACAGGCCAGTAAACCAAAAAAAAGCGTATCCTTAGGTAGTTCTGAATAAGATTTTAGCATTACTTTAGCTGATTGACTGACCTCTCTGGAGAACTTCAGTTGGGTAGGTGTACATGAAAATGACATTAAAGAAGACCTGAATGCCAGATTCCAGTTAGTATTCAGGTATTAAGTTCCCGATGGTAGTTCTGAAGAGATTATCAATCAAAAATGTAAAAAAGTAACCTGATTAGTTTGACCATTTCTATGATTACAGAGTTTGGGGTTTTTTTTCAGTTTGCAAGCTTGGGCTTAGATGTTTCAGTTCTGCTTTAGAGCCCTGAACTTTCCCTTGACCTACTTTTAAAACCAGATCCACAGAAGGGGTGAGGGCTTTGGTTCTGCCTGTTTTTGGCATGATCTAGTCACCCAAAAGCTGTCAGGCTCCAAGGCAAAATTTTACTTCAGCTTGTTTCTGTTGCAAGGTCTGGCTGTAAGCCTCAGAGTTGCAATACAGCCTATGTGATCGCATAGCACTTGGAGTCCATCAGTCTTAAGCTTTTCAGTTAACATTTTACAAAGGGTCACAGTAAAAAAAGATTTACTATATAGCACAGGTTTTTGATTGGGAACAGAAAACAATGAGTGTATGTGACTGCCTGAGCTGGCTGAGATCTTCATACAGCTTTTTTTTATTAAAGGACAACTGAAGTTTAAAGTGTGACTGGGAGTACTGTGTTGAAAACAGGTTAAGAACAGCTTGATATGTATTAATTAAAAATGAAGTCTGGATTTAAAATGGAGAGCAGTTGCATCTGGGGGAGTGAGCTATGAAGAAGTCACTGGAGTGAGTTATATATTCATTTTTCTTAACCTTCAAAGTATACCTTTATTTGTAGAATAAAGTAATAGCTTCTCTCTGCCATGATTGGTTGAAAATCACCATCTGTAGTGGAAGGATTTTTAGGGGGGTCATTTTTGTTTAAGCCTGGTTACTCTCCTAAATCATTTTGTTAAAACAGGATGATTAGATAATGGATATTCTGCAAATAGAATTTATTTTAAGTAATCCGTATATTTTATGTTGAAGGCCAGTTACTTGTTCAGTTATTAATCAGTAGCTGATAAAAATTAAGTTGTCCAAAGATGATGTATAATTTTAATATATCTGTAAAATGTTTATCAAGTCAGAAATGTTTAAATAATAAATAATAACCATTCTACTATTTCTTTAGTGATAAAGCAGCCTTGTTTACAACTGTCGAAAACAAGGTAAAGATAAGTAACATCCTACAGGTGATTTGTAATACAAATCTTTGTAATAATACCATAAATATTACTCAAATAATTTGATATCTGTGGCCTTTAGTGCTCCAAGAAAAAGAGGGAGTCCAAATACTAAATCGGTTTTAAACACTGATAGTGAAGATTCCTAGTAATTTAAAAGTTCTATTTATTTACGTACAAAATAAAAAAAACCCAAACAGGTGGACTGACAGAGCCAGGCACATGAAATATCCAAAAAGTATATATTTAATACTGAGTATAATTTTTCACTTAGGGATCCATTTCATGGATTGCAGTAGGTATATCTTGAAAGAAAGTTTACATCAAAATTGAATCTAATACTTCAATGTACACAAGGTAAAAGGTGGAAAGAATAAAAGCAGAGTCCCTTTTCTGAAGTGTAGTAAATCAATTGTATTGACACTGCAGAACAACAAAAAGAGTAAATGAAGTTTAATCACCAATTCAGGCATGGAAGTAGATAATTTAGTGTCTTTTCCCATCACTACACCTTCTCCCCTCTCCCCCCAAACTAACATACAACCCAAATTGGTGTAATACACTCCTTACATCTGCACTCCAATCGTGCTGTTATTTTCATACAGAGGATAAGGTGTGATCAAGAAGTGAACTGTAACTGAACAAATGCTCTACCTGCAGGCTGCCTTCAGTGTTGACAGTTCAATTTTCAAAATACTTGGTTCTTCAAAATACTACATCTTGCAAAGACATATACATTCATTTACCTGACCAAGAATGGAGGTATATACCAGAAAAATAGTGTGTTTTCTCCTTCATATTGAATTTATGCTGATGCATGCTCAAGAAGCACAACCAAAAAAAAAAGAAAAAAATGCATCTAATTGGATTCACATTAGGTCATCATCTATCTGTTTATTGGAAATGCTATAGCATATGAGGATCTATTCAAGACTCAAAACTATTGCTGCCTAAAATAAATTTTACTGCCCCAAAAATAGAAACAGGAAAAAAACTCCTCTGCAGTCATTCCTCTAATACAGGGACTAAACATGCTGAAGGTCTGGTCATTAGCTTCTCCTGGATCTAGGACAGGGCTAGCTTCAGCCATACTGAATTCAGCATACATGCAGAGTGTTTGCTAGCTATTTGACCCTAAATAGAACTAGTGTAAATACAAGCAGGCTTCTTCTCAATGAATTAAAAAGCAAGCAAATGCATGCCCCTCAGAAGAACAAAGAGGATTACAGGCTCTAGGAGCAGTAACTATAGAAGGGGGAATCTTACCAGTGTATACAAAAATCTGAAAGGAGGGTGCAAAGAGGATGGACCAGTGTTGTTTAGTGTAAGGACAAGAGGCAACAAGAACAGACACAGGAGGTTTCCTCTAAACATAAGGAAATACACTTTTTCTGAGGGTGACCGAGCGTTGGAACAAGTTACCAGAGAGTTTTTGAAATCTCCATCCATCCTGTTTAATGTGCTGTAGGAACCCTGTATGGGGAGGTTGGATCAGACAGTCTTGAGGGGTCCCTTCCAAACTCAACAATTCTGTGATTCTGTGAATGTCTGTATCCGACTTCACTCCCTCCTGAAATGAAGTGTCCTGGAGCCTGATCTAAGAAGTATCCACAGACATTTTTATTTTGCTTCTAAAATATATGTCAATAGATTATAAGGGTGGCACCAGCTCTTGATTATTTCACTCATAAACACATGATCATGTATTTATACCCCAAGTAAGAAAGCACCGAAATAACTATTTCTGTCAAATTAATGTTTAATAAGAGAACTCACTACTAGAGTACTTCCATAACACATAGTTATAGACTGACTCTATCTCTTCTGAACCACCTACATAGATTCAAAACTGTGAAGTGAAACACTGGGGACTGGTTGTCTGATCTGAACTCAAATGACAACAATATTGGGATAGAAAATGTAATATCATTCGGAGAAAAGAAGTGAACTACATGCCTCAACTGCAAGTTTTAAATTCATACCTAAATGCATCCATATTTGTCACTTTATCATAGTCAAGAAGAATATAAAATCATACTTTGGAGGTGAGGAGCAATAGGTTTGGCAGGAATTCTCTCTTATTCCCTGCTATAAATTTGAAAAGATCACAGGCAAAGCTTCTGGGGGCAGGGAAGAGGAAAAAGTTTTAACTTTAATTAGAGCCAGATTACCCATTGCTGTACAGTTTACTGCAATAGTATTTAACCTGGATAACCCTTGTTAAGGTTTACATCTGGTTTCCTAAGGAGGTCCAGGTAAAGGGGAAACATTACAGTGCAACTTAGCATTTTGAACACAGACTTAGTAATCAATTTCTTGTACATTTTAAAAACTGATATTCAAGGAGAACGTATATTGCAGTGATAAATTCTGAAATACCCTATGTAATTTATTAACAAAAAATCATGCATAAAAAGGAAATATAAGCATAGGTACACACACACATACACACCGATACTCTCCCTACAACAATTCCTGTTTTACTGATTTAGTTTATGGACCCAAACACACTGAAATCAGCAGCCTCCAACAATGTCATTATCCTGGATTTTTGTGGTGCACTTGGTATTTGTTTTTTCTGAAAAGAAAGCAGAAGTTATAGACAGTATGTATTCCACAGTCCTCTGCCCTATGGAAAGGTCTTGCTGTAGTCTTGCAAAGAGTGTAGACAGGGGTTTTCTATCCTAAAGTAACTCTCTTAACTATTCCTATTTTGTATACACCAGCAAGAAAGAAATGAAGGAATATCATACTTCCATTACCAAGCTTACACCTTGTGATGATTCACACTTATCTTCCACATAGTTCTCCAATTACAGCTTCAGTTAAAGTATGGTCCCATTTAATCCATTACATAAACTATTTTAAATCTAGAAAATTACTGAGTTATAACAGCTGTTAAGACACTGTATTTGTGAAGGGAGGAGTTCCAGAAGGAAAAGCAAACTTCAAATGAATCTTTCCACAGAATTCGTATCCTGCACTGGTATTGCAGAGATTACACTAATGACAATGGGACAACAACACCCAAGGTGGCAAATTCTCAATATTCACAAGCTTATCCATCAATGACAATGTACTTGGTGGTTTCAGGATTTTTTTTGGTGCAAAACCTATGAACACTACTTTTCAAGATATTTTTTCCTGAGTCAGTCTCTTTTAAGAACTGATCTGTACTGTGTAGTGGTAGGGGGTGCTGGAGTGATATGATCTTGCCAAGTAGGGAGTGGATGTAATAAACCTTGTAATTTTTAAATTATGTAATAAACTTTATATTACTCACCAATATGTATTGATGAAGCGTAATATGTCATTTGCCTATGGTGGCTCATGATAATTACTGTATTAAACTTTGATAATAGCACTTTTCCATCCCTCTGTTTCATCTCATCTTTCCCTGAACTACTCCCAGACTTCAGCGGTCTTTACCAGCCTTCTGGTAATATTCTGTTTTGCACAGTGCCAGTAATACTGTCTATCATCTCAGGCCTCTGCTTCCTGGAATCGTTAATACCGTGCTTTGGAAATTATTTGAGGCAGAAGGCTCCACAATTGTACTTACTGGTTCAGCCTGGTTCCCTGAAATTAGGTTTAGTGCATTTTCAAAAGGAGAATTTTGCAGATAGGAGCCCAAATGGATTTTCAACTAGGCTTCAACCTTTTTGAAACCTATGGATGTTGAATAGTCTTTTACTAGTTGCCATGCCAACTGACACCAAAGAAACACTCTGCTGTGTGTTCATCCCCTAGAAAGCTTCACCAGATGTCTTCAACAAATTGCCATGAAAAGGCTTGGGTCTGTCAGTCTTGTTAGGAGATAAAAATCAGACTGCAATGTCCCTGCCTCCACTTCTGATAAAACCAGCCCATAAAATATGTAGACCTGCAGTACTCTCACGGAAAACCAGCAAAATCTCTCACCCCCAACCTAACTCCCCCTCATTTCCTGTAGCAAGATTTTTTAAATATTTATGTTCTTATTTCTACATGAAGCACAGGGCCATTATGCTTTGCAGCTGACATCGTCTGGCAGTGCAAAGCTAGAAGCATCTGGTTGGCAGCAAAGAAAGAGAACAAGTTGATGAATTATTGATTTACATAAATCAACACCTTTTAAATATTGGTCTTTTGAAGAAAAAAAAAGCTTTTTTTAATGTCAACTAGAAAAGTGTTAAGATGATAAACACCTTATCAGATGCTTTGAGATTTTCTGTCCTTACCTCAGACACAAAATATATATATACAATATATTGCTGTTCTCTGGAAACACAAAAATATTTTTTTTCCCTATCTAATCCTTCAGCTTTATTTTTTTTATTTTATTTTTTTTTAAATAATCATGGCTGCGCAAGAAAATAACACCATATTCAAGCACTTCCAAACAACCATAGAAAATGAGGTTTAAGAATTAATACTGTTTCAAAGATGCAGGCCATGCAGGATAACCTGAAGAAACAAAACCTGAAGAAACAGCAGAAACTGTGGACACACAGAATCTAAAGACAACTGTTCATTAATTTTAATATATATATTTATATACACATACCTTTTGGGCATTTGGGATACTGAATGAAATGTAGCAGAACATGATTTATGTGAATAATCTACAGTGAATTTTTAGAAGATAATGTATCACAAAATACTTCATTCTATTACTTCAGTGTTTGTCACATTGTCTTCATAGGAGACTAGAGTATCTTAATTAGCAGCTATGCTGTGGTTCAATATGCATAAATACATGGTTCATATGTATCACAATTTTTACACTGAAAATAAAAGACCTTTTTTCTGGTAATTGAAATAGTTTTTAAAAGTAAAGTAATATTATTTTTCTATTTTATGTATTTGCTTTTCCACAAGTGTTACTCTTTCATACTAGTCTGATATTTATACAACTTCTCCTAGCACTTTTTAATATTTTGTATTATATAATTTGCATGTACTCGGTACAAATATCAGCCAACCAAAACCACACAGTTGTGTTTTGTTCCCCAAAAATGATGCTTAGAAACACCAGTGTAGCCCAAAACATCAAAGTACAGTCTTATGTGCAAAGTTTTCCTTTTGAAAATGCACTGAATTTTCAAAATGTCCAGGGAACTAAGCTGAACCAGCAAGTACAATTGTGGAACCTTTTGTCTCATCTGGGTGTTCACAGAAAATGACTGATGTGAAAGCTCTGTGTTGGCTGCTATCAAAGTGTGGAAAATACCATGTGGAACAGTTTCTTCTTCAACCCTTTCATCACTGCTGCTTCCAGGAGATGGAACGTCTGTTACTATTTTCCTTCTAATATGAAAAAATCACAGTTAGAAAGGATGTTAAGAGGTCTCCTACCCAAGCTTCTACTGATGGTTGTGCCTGAGAATCATCACTGAGGAGGTTGCACCAGATGGCTCAGTGCTCTCCCAAGCCTGCTCTTCAAAACTTTTGAGGATTCAGAGCACACAGACTTTCCGGACAACCTGCTCCACAGTGGACTGTCCCCAAGAGGAAAAAAGTTTCCCTTTATCTCCAGTCTGAACTGGCCATGTTCCACTGTTTCTCATGATACCATCAGGTTGTCGAGAGCTTGCATCTATCTACCCAACATGCAGGTCATGGGCAGAAGGACACACTCAGGCGCCCTCAAAGCCTCCCCTTGTCCAGGCTGAAGCAGCTGTGTCCCTCGGGGTCACCTCACTGTTCAGGATGTCCAGTCCCTGAGCATCCTGATGGGCCTCTGCTGGGTGCACACTAGTTTGGAAATGTCTTTCCTGGACTGGGGAGCGCAAATCAGAGGAGGCAGTATCTAGGTGCGGTCCAAAATGCACCAGGTCAAGGTGAATCCTCGCATCCCTTCATCTCCTGGCTGTGCTTCTACTCCTCCTACAGGACTGGATGCTGCTGCCAGTGTGTAGCCTGCACTGCCTCTTGGGCTGCTAAGTTCCGGGGGCAGGGCTTGGCATTTCTCCAGGCTGAACTTCATAAGGCCCACTCCTCCAGCATGCCCCAGTTCTTCTGGATGGCAGTCCTGCTCTCATGAGCATCATTGTGGTCCCCTAAGTTTGGTACTGCCTGCCAGCCTCAGGAGCAACTGTTCTTTGCCTCCTCCTGATTGTGGAAAAAAATTATTAAGTAGGTTGGATCTCAGGGCAGACAAATTGTTCTCCACTTGTTAACAGTTTCCACATCAGGTATGATGTTTTAACCACTACCCTATGCATTAGTTTTGGAGAAAATAAAAAAGTTTAGTCTTAGTGCAGAACTTACCTACCTCCTAAATGAGAAATCAAACTCAAAAACTCTGCCCAAAGAGGTATACTGCCAAAAATAGATACAATTTAGAAGCAGCACAAGTGTCACTTTGATACTGATATCTATTTTACATGAAAGATATTTGTATACTCCCAACAAATCTTAGGAACAAACCCCAAAATAAGGAATGCCCACATTCTCATGAAAAGAAATGACAGTATATGATTTCCATAACCTGAGGTTTCTGTTTGTAAAAAAGTGCTCTCAATTAACTAGGCTTTCTCCACCATTCAAGAACTAAAAACCTTTTGGAAAGTTCCCTCTTCCAAACTTGGTTTTTAAAGCTCACAGCTGTGGAAATTGCATTGAAATATATTGTAGTATTACCTACTGCAGCACATATCAACTATCTAGGTATAACCATGTATATACATGCTCTAGTGTATTTTCTGTGTGAAGTGGTTTAGTTGTTTTATAATATTTGTATTAATCTACCAATGAATATGTTTCTACTGGCAGCCATAGTGAAGATTATTAATACTTTAACTTCTCTGTGACTCCCCCATCCAGCTAAATGTTTTTGGGGGTTACAGTAGAGAAATGTGCCAGAATTTAGGAACACTTTCACAACGTTCCTGCAGAGATCTGTGGCACTGTTTTACCAAACTCATATTTAAGCTATAATAACACTTGCTACAAGAAAAAAATCACAAATACAATTACAAACAGCAAAGGAAAGACCTAAGTTTTGACAAAAGACCTGAAATCTGGGAAAGGTGCTTTTTAAAGAATATAAAGGAGACGAGAACATGAATACCCTCATCTGAGGAATAAGGGAAAGAGTCATCAGGAAGCCATATTAATATGGATGAGAAAGGTGTTAATAATATGTTGACGTGCCATTGCCTCAGGGTGGTTTTTCTGCCTCTACAACTCAAGATATGGAAGCAGAGTAGCAGAAACAAGTAATCTAAAAAAACCCAGATCTTCCAGCCGTCATTGAAGACGTCCTTGTGTTTGCATCTCATAAAAGCTTATGTTTAACACTGTCCCAGTAACAAAACTTGTTAGGGTGACCAAGGTGTTTCCTGGAGGACCTCCTCTTTGCAGCAGAAGATCAGCCTTTCCTCAGTGTGAGACAGTTGCTGCTGTCTGTTCATGATGCTTCCAGTTCGGTATTCAAACACCAGTCATCCCTTTAGCAAACAGTTTGTTGCTCTGCAAGCTGTGAAGACCTCTCATTGCTTGAGCACTCCACTAACTTTCTATCTTCATTTCTTGTCAAATGTGACCATGACACAAATATCCTTGAATAGTTTGGGAGTAAATCACTTGCAACTAGAGAAAGATCAATTGGATGGACAGGATGACAACTTCATACACAGAAGTATGGCAGGGACCCCTACAGTCAGTCTTTAAACAAAAAAAACCTATTCCATTCCTGGAAATGAAAAATGAAGAGCCCTTGAACATGGCAATCAACCAATGACACCATTACTCAAGAAATATCTCTCTTAAAATCATGGCAGGCACAACATATTCTACATCAGACACTTGAAGATAGTGCATGACTTCTCTTGCAATCTAGAAGTAAGTCAGGGAAACCTTTTGGTTTCTTATGGGATATTGGTTTACACATTGACTGATATATTTGAAGAGGAGCTCATGTTTTTCCACTTGTCAGTTTTGATGTGTCCTTCAAGAACTTAATTAAATTGAATTGAAATTGTACTGGTTATTAGATATTTTGATAAAATTATACCATTAGAATTATTATATGGAAACATCTGTAGAAAGTTGTGTCACAGGGGCCGAGTTACTTTGGATACAAGATATTTAAAACTGTGCCATTTGTATTTGGTGGTATTCAAGATCATCATTAGTTTCTGCTGCTGCTTTCTCATCTTTTGTATACTGGATATGCAGGCACAGAAAACACAGATATCTTTCTGTTCCAAAGTGTTGTTCTTCCGTGAAAAAATTTTACTCTAAGGAAGGCTAACTGGACAAATCATTTTCAAGGGCAATGGCCTCCTGCAGAAGATTAGGTG